CAAAGATGTCCTGACATCCTTTTCCCAAAAGTTTTGTTGATATCCTGTCCAAATTTCCAAGTTTCAAGGAAGACAATCCTTTTTCCAAATACTTATAGTCGAAATTAGGAAAACAGGATGTGATTTAGTGCTACACCTTCACAGGTACAATACAAACGTGACAGCCCAGAAGCAGTATGTGTGAGGGCATCTGTGTGTGCATCTGTGTGCGGGTGCATATGTGTGTGTTGGGGGGGGGAGAGGCCTTGGTTCCCTGCTGCTCTATTGAATATTCCATTCTTAGAAAACTGCTTGGGTCTAGCAGCTCACACACATTCCTCTGTAAAGCTGTCTAACATGTCCCTTCACCCATGTTATTTTCACCCCTGCTCTGGCATCCCAGAGGGTACTTCATAGAACAGTTTGGGAAATTATTCCCAGATGGTTCAGGGCTTTTGTGCCCAGGATAGAGCAATGACCCACAAGTGCACCCTAGGTAACAAAATAAAAGCTTAATCTCCAAGAAGTGCTAGGTTCTTTTAACTATGTGAATTTTTGTTGAAAGCTTTCTCAGAAGACAGCATGCATATATGGGTGTTTAAGGATGGATTTTAGTGAAAAGAGGATCATTGTTTGACATACAACAGAAAAACTGGTTCAGACAGAGGAAGGAAGCATAAAAGGAGACCCCAAGATGCGAATGGGGGAAGAGCAGAAGGGCAGCCAGTAGGACGGGGCTTGTGTAATTCATAGGGGAAAAGGAGGTGGAATTGTGCAGAACTTTGAGCACGTTAGGTGTGCCATTGATAGCCTCTGAACTGCCAACAGCCTGCTACAAATGACAGATGAAAAGCAGCATTGTGGATGGCGCAGAAGGCAGTAAGATGAAGAGGAACCCAAGAGAACAACAGTGCAGCAGGCAAGGCAAAGGATGACCAAACGGTGTTTGTATGTGTGTGTGTATGTATGCATGTACACATGTACGTCTGCCTACATGCAGATGCATGCAAAAATTGGTGTGACTTTGACTTCACCGCAGCTCCAATCTATGTGCCACACCATACCAGCTTGCATCAGATCAACGTTCAGCGTTCCAACGTGGGTTCTGTGCAAGGGTCTTGCATACTCTTCTGTAATGTGGGGCACGGTTGAACAGAGCCCCCTCATGAGCCTACCCCTCGCACCCACTCGCAATCACTTCTCCCATTCACTATTACACAGACCAGTTCCTCTTTCATCTGCAAGTTCACATTATATTCCCCAGCACATTATATTCCCCAGAACATGTGGTAATTGTCTACCTGAAAAAAGTAATATGTGAGAAGATTTTTTAGTTGCTTCTAATGAATATTGGCAGTAGGAATTGAGGATAGCCAGTGTGACAGGCTAAGCTGTCTTTCCCAGACCAAGCACAAGGGCTCTTCAGGACACTAGGGTGACATGGTCCATGTACCACAGTTAGGATATCTGTTCACTAACAGTTGAAGGCTGAAAATGTAGTGTACTAAACAACAATAACATTTTTTCTTGTACTGTATTTTTAAAATCAAAATAATATTTTATAATGTATGTTAAAATAAGCTTAAAGGCACAGAATGAGCTGAGTGTCAAAATCAAAGAAACTTGTAGTTAATGCAATCCACTCCTTCAGCAACTCTTGTCTTTGTGGGTCTGCTTAACAGAACTCTGAGACTAGCATGGAATATCATCTCCCTAGGTTGTGTCCCCAGTTCTACATGAAGGACGTCCTTCTCACAAGTTGTGTATGCCACTAATAGGATTGAACTACTTTGACTCCTCTTGTGAACAGTCATCATACCCTCCTGCAATACTTATCTTGGACAGAGAAGACTTAAATCTAAAATCCTTTTGATTTTTGTGGATTTTAGGCATCAGTTCCTAATGAGATCTAACTCTTTTGTGTTTATTCTGGTTTGGATTACTAGCACTGCAGCTGTCATGGGCAAGTTTTTGTGGTTCAGTGGTGTGGGGCTTTGCATTGTTGGCAGTAATAGCTCAATTGTAGAGTATATTCAGACTTTTGGGAAATTATGAATCGCTCCTTAACTGTGTAAAAATTCAAAGTGTCTGCTGCCCCCTAGTGTTTTTGCTAACTACTCTTTGCTGTTAGAGATCATGCAAAAATTATGGTGCAACTAATTAACAGGAGTTTCCACATGCAGTATCCATGCAGGAATGCAGCAAACTTCCAGCACGTTTTTTCCTGCGTTATCCTTTTTTCTAAAGGGTTTTGATTCACTAGCAAATCATTTAGTGCAAAAAAGAGAGAGAGAGAGAGAGACTGAGCTACTCCCTTGAAAAATGTACAATAGCAAATTAGGATTACTGTACTGTACTACTTAAACTGGCTTCTGAACTAGTAGTTTTATTCGTTCCCTACTCAGTCTAAATTGCTATTAATTAGTAAGTAATTTTGCCCAAAGACTGTGAAAAATTAAGGATGTCAGGATTTTGGCCACTATGTTTAATGGTATAACAGTTAGCCAGAACACATAAAATGTGCTATTGGTGAAATCTTGGCCTCACTGAAATTATTAGGAGTTCTACATTGTATCGCTTTGCTGGACCAAATGTGCTTGGATTTGCATCCTGTGAATTTCCACATGGCTATACAAGAGGTGTGATTCAGAATATGAAAATTGAATAAATGCATATATCATGGCATAAAAACATACTAGAATATAAGTGTATATATTTCTTCCAGGTTTCAGAGTTGCAAACACATTATTATTTGCATTAATAATGTTAATGTCCAGGTGTCTCTAATGTGTTTAGAAGTAATATTTTTGTGGAACCATAGAGGCTTCCAGTTTAATTAAAGATAAGTGGTAATAAATGAGTGCATGATACAATAGGGAGGAGACAGCAAAAATCTAAGAAGAGATTGGTTATGTGGCCTATCAAAGCATCCATTTGAAGGTTTTGAATCAAACATCAGAAATCTGTAATTAAAACTGCATAATCTTTCATTATAATTTCTGTTTCACCTTGCTTATGACTTTTGGAATGTCCTTATAAGCTGAAATATTCAAATATTCCCTGTACTCTCTGCCCAAAACAAAAGGCTCTCTTTATTTTTGTTTGATATCCTCCTTCATTTTAAAAAATAAAACATGCAGAGAGGAAAAAATACACTTCAGAAAATGCAAAAAATTGTTTTGGAGCACAGGTGCTTTAAAAATGGTAGAACTTTAAGACAGACAAGACTTTTTGTCTGAGACTGCCAGAAGCAGCAGCATCTGTATTGATAGGGCACTTCAGTGGGGCTTTTTGTCACTTTTAACTAAAGCTGATTCAATCAGCTATTAGATAAAAGCACCCAAAAAGTCCCACTAAAGTGCCCAATTTATACAGACGTTTGGCGAGCTGGATCCAGCTAACACACTGCCTCTTCCAGGTAGGAGCAGGGCTTGGTGTGGGAACACACCAAGTTTAAAGTGCTGTTTGTTTTTATCTTCTGCAAGCAGCTTATGTCCAAAAGCTTGTCCAACAACTCTCTCAACCATACAGCTGGTCCAATAATAAGTATCACAAAAAAGCCTTCCTCAGATATTTCCTGGATCATCCTGACTAGAGCTACATTCCAACCCTACTAGATGTTTTAGGCTTCTACCTTATATTTGGCTAATATACACTAGACATAAGGTAGGGGAAAAATTAAAAGCACAAGGATCTGACTTTCAAAGTTTCTAAATACAATAGTTCCATTGACTAAAGAGAGATGTGTGAGGGAACACATCTTTTCAGACAGGAAAAGTAAGAAGAGGGTATCTCCTTTTTTCCTATCAATTATTACTGCTGTTCCCCCTAACATCAAAAAAGCTGAATGGTTCTAAAATACCCCAGCATAGCACCAGCATTGCTGTCCCCCTTCACATCAAAAAACTTGATGATTCCTCACCTGAAGGAGGAACCAGATGGTCAATGGAGAGCTATGGTCCTACATACTATGCCTTCCTTTAACCTCTGCTTTATTGGGCCATTAAAGGCACCATTTTCAGATATAAGGCTTCCATAATATTGCTGGTGCTACTGCCCTGTGAACCTTAACGGGTTTCATTTCCTAAATAGTGTGGGTTTTAAATTTGTAACTCTATTGCAAGTTTTTAAAGTTACGTAATTACTTTCTGAGGGAAAATTATGTGAATTTTCAAGGCATTACACAGATATTAAAGTTTTCCACATTGTTACTGACTTGCATATTTCTTGATACATCTGATTTCTTAAATAAAAAGCATCCTTTTTACACATACATCCCATGAAAGCTAGGAACTTGGCAGTACTAAGTGGCATCTGAACTCCATTTTAACTTAAGGTAAAGGAAAAAGTCCTCTTTATGCTCATTTCATCTAGAACCTTTTCTTTTTCCCCAAGAAAGCTTTGCTGGACTGCTCAACTTGCAGCAAACTGTGTAATGAGATTTTTAAAAAATAAATTCAAAATAACTCAGCTGAGACCGCCAGATGCATTTTACTTACAAGCAAATAGTTTTTGAAGTACCTTTTGAATACATCTTGCTGGCGGATATATTACAGAGATATTTGGGCAGGAAAGAGAAAGGCAATGAAAATAAATTGAAATTTAAAAATGAAATATCCCACATGACACAGTCAGAGATAAATTATTATTTGGAATTATTATGATTATTCTTAATATGGCACCATAAACTGACATGATATTTTACGATCATGCCAAGATACTACTTTGAAAAGTACACTAGAAATAGGAGGGAGGCAGGAAGGGAGGGAGCGATGGATAGGTGGGTGGCTATGGGGAAAGAGAGAGAATAGGCCAAAAGCTTAGAACTAACCTGTCCTCTATCCTGGAAACTCTAATAATCATGAATGAGGTATTAATTAATATGAGCAAACAGTGCTGGGTGAACACTTTAGCTGGTCATGGGTAGCTTCTAGGAATATTTTTTACGAGCATGAGTAGGAGGGTGGAAATAATTATAGATCATGACTGATTTATACACTGGACATTTCCTCTCTTTTCAGCATGTGAAGTTATCACATGAGTTTGAACAGTTGGTACTCCAGGATGAACGGTTTGAAATCTGTTCTGAGGTCATATTGGGACTGGTGTGCTTCCGACTAAAGGTAAAGTAGCAAAGGCTTCTTATTTCCCCTCTGCTGTTATAGGGGATACATCTGTATACATTCAGATACATTTGATTTACTGTACTGGACTAGCATGTGTTTATAGTTAAGGTAATTGTTTTAAATTGCAGGAAAGTAATGATAAATTATATATTCCAAAGTTATCCTGAGGTAGATGCTCTTTGAGCATCAGATAAATTTAACAAAATGCAAGTATGTGAAGATATAGAAATGATTAAGGCACCTAGGAGGCCTTAATTCTATTCTGTAATGACACCAGGAAGTAAGCATATGATTACTCTGCATAATTAATGTATTTTAGGATTTATAGTCTGGGACTAAACTTTTACATTTTTCATATTTTTTCATTGTCATTACAGGCTGTACTGTACAGGCTATACAGGTTTTGCTGTACTTTAACATGACCAAATTTCTATTAAGCTTATACTGCCTGTTTTGGGGTATTACAACAGTCCTTTAAGATTTAATTTAATCTTAAATTATTGAATGTATTCTTTCCCTTAATTCCTCTAAAGAAGAAAATCAGAGAAAACTTTACCACATGTCATTTCACCTATTCTGAAGATAACAGTAAAAATGATAAATCTCTTCAACGTATTATCATAGAATCATAGAAAAAAGGACTGAAAGGGACCTATAAGATCATCAGGTTTGGTCCCATGCCATGGGCAGGAAGTAATTGGGCTCAAATGAGCTCAGTGAGGTATTTGTCTAGCCTCCTCTTAAAGACTGCCAGAGATGGCGACTGTACCACCTCTGCTAGAAGTGTGTTCCAGATTCTAGTTACCCATACAGAAAAGAAGTTTTTCCTTATGTCCAACCAAAACTTGTCCTTGACTAGCTTGTGTCCATTGGTCCATGCTTTCCTGCGGGGGTGGAGGGAGGAGAGGGGCTTTTGTGAAAAGTTGTTCACCTGTGTTCTCCCTTGTCATATTTGTAGGCAGCTATCAAGTCACCTCTCAGCCTTCTTTTGCTCAGGCTGAACAGTCCCAGGTCCCAAAGTCTCTCCTCATACAGCCTGTTCCCCAGGCCCTTGATCATGCTGGTGGCCCTTCTCTGCACCCTTTCAAGCTCATCCACATCCTTCTTGAAGTGTGGTGCCCAGAACCACAGTTCAAGAAGGATGTGGACAAGGACCATTATATCTTATAGTGACTTCACTTAAGAATAGCGTGAGCTCTTGGGTATGTTTACACGGCAGTCAAAGCATGACTACAGCTCATGTAGATGTACCTGTTAGTTTTAAACTAACTAACCTGGGTGACAATATTGTAATAGCCACCACTGTTAGCTACAGAGGACCAACTCTCAGGATCTTTATAAATTCTAATTTATTAGAAGGGATGTGAAGTTACAATAAAATTATAAATGTGAACCTTTGGGGATTGTGATGGGTACTGGTCACCTTAGCATGCACACACACACATGCGCGCAATTGCTGCAATAGTAGTGTAGCATCAATGTTGGTTTATACCTATCTGAGGCGCTGGAGTCTGCTGTCAATGGTCAGCTTCCTCCAAGGTGATGTCTTTTCCAGAAGGGAGGTCTCCTGCTTGTCCTTCTGTCTCGGTAGGTCAGGTGCTGGATGAGAAGGCACTGCTGAGGGTCACGCTTCACTGCCTTTTATCCCTTCTCTTGGCAGACTTCTGTGATCCCTCGGCATCATCTTGGCTGCCCAATCCAGAGATCACTGTCCCACGTGGGTCTTGAGTAGTGCATGACAGCTGTTAGTCACGGTCACTGGGGGTTCTGCCCGATGGTGCAGTTTTGGGAGTCCACCCTTGACCTGATTGATTCAATGGCTGTGTCCTTGCAGGTTTCAGGTGGCTTGATTAGCTTAAAATGGCTTGTAGAGTAGAGTTTTGTAATGGTAAGTTCCTCTGGCTAGGCTATTGTCAATTAACAGCCAGAGGCTCTTGCTTTGTCATTCAGTTATCTACTGATTCATACATACTCACATTCACTCAGGGGGACCAGCCCAAAACAGCAATACAATTCCAGTGATTACAATTCCAGTGTATTCTTATAATAATAATTTTAGTAATAGAAGGTATGACTTACTCTAAAAGATACATTTGATAAAAGTTAAAAGATATAAAACGTAAAATACAGAATATCAAGGCAAAGATGAGACAGATGAAATATAAAAAAATGCACTGTGAGAAATATATAAAAATGCAATGTGAGGTAGTGAGGATCAAAGGCCACTGGGGACAGTAAGTGACACAGGTTAGATGCAGTCACGTAGACTGATTTAGCATAATGTCATATTGAATGTAATAGTTTGAATGCTTGTAATAAATGCCCATTAACCAGTTTAGAAAAAAGGCAAGGTTCATCTTCTTATCTAGGCTCATTGCTTGTTTTTGCCTACGTGCTGAATGTCTTAGTTCTTGGATTTTATCTCTAGAGGCCTTTAACAAAATTAACCTAAAAACGACCCTTAAGCAAACATTCGGAGAGATCAAAACCTAGGGGCTTTTGAAAGGGGGTTGGGAAAGAGAGGTCACTGCAGTGGTGTGGAAAGTTTTCCAAAGAATACAAACTGACCACCCAGCAGAAATCTGTTAGTAAGATCCGAACCCAAATTTGGGAGTAGTGACAGGTTTGGGTAGGAGGGGCCCAAGACGGCAACTCACCCAATAAAAACTGTAACCTACAGTCCCAATTTGGAGGTAACCTCACTTGCAGAACACCGAAGGAAGAATTGTAAGTGTAGACCGGATCAAACTGATCATCTGAACCACCCTCTCCGTGAACAAGAATTCCCGTTCATGCTGAAGCCAACACAAAACTTTAGACAGATATGGGAAGTTTGCTTTGGGAAAGAGATATTAATTAAAGGGGGAATGTGTTCACCAGGATATATTTAGAGTCATGTTTTCAATGCACCTTGGCTTTTCTTGTCTCTTACAGGCTTTGCTTAAAAGTGGATATTTTAGTTCTTTTGTTTTCTTTAGCAACACTTAGCTCAGTTGATATGTACATGTAGTTTGCAGGTTTTTAGAGCAAGCCACTTCAGCTTTCTGGCTTGCTCCAAGCCTTGCCACACCCATGCAATGTGTGTGCTAGGTCTCTGCCAGTACTTAGAAGGAAAAAGAAATGCACAAAATGAGGGGTCGGGAGGTACAGGCAAGAAGGGGCTTCTTGTTACACTGCAACATGATGGTCCACAGCAAGCTCCACAATCTACCTGAGAAACTGGCAGTTAGCTCAGGATGAGCCCTGCACTGCTCTTACTACATTACTAGCAGCATGTGGGCTAGCTTGTTTAAAGCTAGCTCAGGAATGGCTACATGAGCTGCAATCACAGCACTGATTTCAAGGTAGATTTATCCATCAACTTGATCCTTCCTACAAGCTATACCATATTTCCCTGTGCATTATACCCCCCTCCAAAGGAACTTACAAATTAAGGTGTGTGTTATACAACAGACATAGGTAGCAAATAATTGGAATCGTGTAAAAAAGCTGAGAAAAGTCAATCAAATTTGTTTAAAATGTTCTCCCATAATTTTATGCTTTTTACTAGTGTGTCTTATACAAAGGGCATCTTCTACATTATATGATTGAGTGATCATAACAATTAGATGCAGATGTAGTTAAGAGCTTAGCTGAATTATAACCTAATTCCTGCAAATACAGCCTATTTTCAATTTTAAAGTACAAAAAATCTACATTGTTCTGTTATTAACATTCAGAACAAAAAAAAAGTCTTAAGTGCTACATTTCTTAAATGACTTGTTTTTTAATTCATTTTTATTTATAATCTAATTAATGAATATACTTAGAAATGGTCAGAAAGTCATTCTGTCCCTGGGTAGGAATTATCATCTTTGAGAGGATACCCTAAATTCGTTATACATCATAAATCCTTGCTCTAAGTGTAAAACCTTTGTAGTAGCTGAACTGGAACACTGAGGTTCTTCATAGTCTGCACGATACCAGCACACGCTTCTGGGTTTCCCAATGGTTCAGCAGCAAGTCTGGCTCTTTTTGGTTACACAGTGTTATTTTTCTGACATTCCTCTCTTTGCTGTTCAGTTGCCCCAGTTACCTGGGCTTAATGGAATTGGTCAAAGAGTCAAAATGAATGTCTTTACAGTAAAGCCTGCACTCAGCTAGGGCTATAAAGTGGTTTCTTTTGTGTTTGTGCTGTCAATAAAAAGGGTACCCTATGGTGGAACAGATGCTGCATGAATTGTGGAGATTTTCTGATTAGTGAAGGCCTGATAGCATTGAATATTTATTTTTGTCCTAACAAGAACTTTTCAAAAGTGTGTGGGAAGGTTTTGTGGCATGGGTTCTACAGAAGTGAGATGTTGCTTATAGCCAATTCTCCAACATGAAACAAGCAAACACTGCATTTTTGTAGGTCCAGTGACAGCTGTTAGTGAGTGCTCTGCATTTACTATTAAGGAACAATGCTGATGAAATTGAGCATGGCAACATAGGAATTGTCACTTTTGATCAGATCAGTGCTCCATCTAAGTCCCACCTCCTGTCCCTGATGCCTCAGAGGAAGGTGTAAGTCCTCCATAGCAGACAGTTATGAAACAGCACACAGATGGATGTCTTACCAAGAAGTTCTTGGGCACTTTGAGGAATAAAGACTTGACTTTATGAAGGCTAGACATTAGAACCCAGGGGGCAGCAAGGCCTTCATCATTTCCCTCCTTTTGTTGATTGCTCATAAAAGGAGTCTACACAAATACATTTTGGTGTGCTTGTGCTTGCGTACCTTAGTTCACTTTCTGAATCACTCTTAAAACATCATATTTATGTAATTCCCATTAAAATATCCTATTGAACTTCAGGTGCTGCAGCATTTCTGAATTTCTTTAAGCATGAAGGGCGGAGGCAGGTCAGTGTGCCAGTGCTGCATATCTAGAAGGGAAAGATTGAAGATCCCTGTAGCATTAGCAGAAAAAACTAGTTTCTCCCTTGTTTGTTTTGGATGAAATATTTGTATTTCTGTT